ACAGAGTGGCAGGGTCCACACTGTCTTTCCTGAGCTCAGGCTAACATCTTCCCAGAGGAAACTTGTTTGTCAGAGTGAGCAACTCCCACTTCCCTTCTCTCCTAGGATGCCAAGGGGGAGGACAACAGCGGCTGTTAAAATGGCACCTCTGTCTTCAGTGGTCTGGCCGCTCTTCCCGTATCCCCGGCCTTATCAGCCCGTCTTATCCATAACAAGTCTCTGGCTCCCACAGACCACGATCAACACAGCCATTGAGAACACGCTGGAAGGAGCCCAGCTCCTGAGCTCCGGCACGGCAGGCCGCAGGGGGACCGCCAGGATCTCGATTTCCAGTGTCTGTAACCTCATGAAGTGTTGGGGTGTAGGGGGTGGGGAGCTTTATTTTCAGAATCTAGATTTTGTTTACGGCCTGGATGGTAGCTCGAGACACCAGCCCAGCCCTATACTTCTGCGGCTCCAGGACGCCAAGGTCTCAGGAGATCCCATTCCGTGGGGCACCTGGGCCTCCCCTCAGGCTTTGTCTTGAGTGCAAAAGACTATGGAGCGAAGTTTTGTGAAAATAGACAAATACTCCCCTTGAACACTAAGCTTTAAGACCCCCTGTGCTCCGAGCACCTCTGTTCCCGTCAGCTCCTAGACTGAGTCTCAAGCCCCCCGGCCCCTACAGGAGCAGTGACAGCTGGTGAATTACTGGCAGCACCTGTCCATGCCGTGTTATTAACGCCGTTATTACGCCTTTCAGCACCGCTGCCATCAGCACCTTCGGAAGGGTGAGCCCAGGGACAGGACACCCTTCCAGGCGGTTTCTCTCCCTGATAACTACTATCCTAAGGCACTTCATGGCCGAGGAAAGTCAGTATTACACATATGGCATCTGAAATTATTCTAACGTTCAGACCACCAGTGCCATACCTGTGCTCCATAGCGGTGGAGAATTAAGATTTGATTTCATTCAGAAAACTCTTAACAAGCCTCTACTTTTTGACTGAGACAGCTGGAAGCCTAGCTGCAAGGCCTAAAATTTTAATTTAAGATCAAAATGACAAATTAAAATGCCCCCTCCTTTGAAGAATTATAAATAGTCCATTCTTCCCAAGCTTTGGCGGGCATCCCACGGAAGCTAAGGATGACCTCATGGAGACACCTGCTGGGAACTAAAAGGCCACATATGCACTGACCTGTAAGAATGAGACCCCCTAGTCTGTGGACTGGAGTGCCCTGAAATGCACAGCAACAAATTTCATAGTCATAATAAAGTGCCCAAGCTGTTGCTTGAATTCTGGTTACCTGTCTTATCTGGAAGCAACTGAATCCTCTCAGTTGGGAAGTTCAAGGGATAGAAGATACGAATTATCAACAAGGTCAAATAAGTATATCTAAATGCACCAGAGCCACATTTCCCCCAGGACCTTAAAGACACATGCTTGGAAAGAGATGGAAAGAGAACTGACTGTCAGAAATGCTAACAGGTAGCTTTTGAAGAACTCATTCCAAAGGAGAGACAGGGTCTTGAGAAGTTGCTGGTTCACAGGTTGGCAGAGCTGGGTGGTGGCAACATAAACATCAAGGATGAAAGAGGCCTAAAACTCATCTAATTCAATTTTACATGAATTGTTAAAAGTGGCAGAAAATGTTTCCAAACAACCATTGCCAAAAGAAAGAGCAATTGTAAGGCACACTGTTGGCAGCCAGCTGGTTGACCTGGCAGAAAACCTCACATTCACCAGCTGACTTGAAATCCCATTAACTACCCCCTCCCCAAAGATATCTTGGAAATAAGCTAGATCAGTATCTAGAATCACCACATGGGACCCCCCCCCCCCCCCCCCCCCCCCCCAAGGCCATTTGTTCACAGCCCTCATAATGGATTGGCCAGGTGTGTCACAGTCCCCAGAAGACAAAATAGTGAACCCCAAGAGAAAGAGATTATATAAGAGGGGAAGGCAGCAAGTAGAAAGAGATACCAAATGAAGCCAAAGAGTGCAAGGCACATGAGACCAGCAGGCTGGTAGACACGGAGGCTAGAAAGGAATTGCCAGATTTACCAGAATCCCCAGTGGGCTGCACAGCCTGGCTCAGACCTCCCCTCAGGCTTTGTAAAAACGAGAGATGACACTGTCCAGATGATATTCGAGCCCACTGCAGACGTGCCACACAGCGAACACCACCTCTCATTTGGAGCAGACAGCTTACAGAGCAGCCAGGGCAAGTGAAAACCTTCCAGGATGACTCTGATCCAAACCCACTGTTGGGTGCGTGTGTTTGGAAAGGTCCAGCTTAAAGGCCGAGTACAGATGTGAGAGGAGATTTTGGTGGGCAGTAGGGAGGAGGCGGATGGAGCTCCTGGCTTTTCCCTTGTTGTGGACTGGTCCTGCCATCTCAGGCATCTGCAGCTCAGTCTCAAAAACAGCCACATATTTTCCTGCCATGTTTCACCCTGAGGACAGGCAATTCAGTGAATTCTGTTAACTTCTTTACCCAGATGCAGGACTTTCTCTAGCGGGCTTCTCCTGGCGGCGTTGTTGCAGTGGAGAAATGTTAATTCCCTGGGAGCACTCTGTGGAAGAAGGGGGGCAGCAGAGGCAAAGCAATCTCTTCCTTCAACCTCCTGAAAGATTGATTTACAAGGGGAAAGGCCTGCCTGGAGTCACACCAGAGGCCACAGCTTTTCGTCTCTGCAGCATCTGCCTGGGTCACGAAGGCCCAGCAACATCTGGCCCCACCGCGGCCTGGAAAGGAAGCAAAACTGGTTGGCCCATTTCTCAGGGTAGCAGGCCATCTTCCTGGAATTCCCTTCTCCAAGAGCAACCTCCTCTTCTGCATGTCCACTCCCTGCACAGCACGGATAAATAAGGAAGAGTGAGCCAAGTATGGCCTCACATGAGCAATTTCTCACACCGACTTGAGAGGGTCTTTGAAGATAGTGAGATGCAAGGAGGATCCTTTGTAGGAATACTTTCTTGGTGGGGGGTGTCTGGCCTTTTACACAGCTGAGGCCAGAGGTATCTGTAATGAGCTCTTTGCCTTAGTACTGCTGGAAGGAGCAAAGCAAATTGGAAAGTCCTGGGCTGGGAGGTGGGGGGTGGGGTAGGAAGACCAAGATATACTTGTATCTTATTGTGAAATAGATAAGCTTTAATATTCATATTTAATTTAAAGTCATCAAATTGAAAAAACAAAGCTGAAGGAAACTTCGGAAAAAAAAATTGGGTGACACTGCTAAAACCAAAATCTAAGACATGTTTTCTCAATTTAAAAAAATTCCAGTGTGTACTGGGGCGCGGAGGGGGTGTTGAATAAATCAAGTGAAATTTTAATTTTAAAAGCAATCAACATTTCAAGAGCTGCCTTCATGTCTGAGGTCCTAGTACCAAAGTGACCGCGTTCATTAATGAACAGAAGCCGCCCAGCATCGTGCCCAGAGGAAAAGCGAGATTTTCCTTCCATTAGGCAGGCTGCCCCTTTCTTCTTCTTTCTTCTTCTTCTTTTATAAACCTCAACCCTGACTGTTTTTAGTGGTAAACACAGGAACACCCATGCTGTGCAACGCTTCCAAGGAACACCAGGATGACAAGAGGCAAAATGTCACATCACACTGGGTGGTGGATCCTCAAGTTCCACATCCAAGTCACTGGTCAGAGAAATGGCTGATGAAGTCAGAACATTCGCTGCAGACACTTCCTTCCTACGGGCACTTGGGGAAGCTGCATGAGCTCTTTCTGGCCACCGGAGATGGCATTTTTAAACAGTCACCCGGAGGAATGAAAGCACCTTCCAGAAGTATTTTACGTGCTTTCTGAGGGTCCTAACCTAGGCCCTGACAACCTGCTTCCTACAACTGGATACAACTCATCTTCAAGTGCTATTATGCACCAGATCAAATGCTCCTCATTTAATCCCAGCCAATCTGCCGAGTAGTAGCTATCCTGCTGCACAGATGAGTAACTGAAGCGGAAATGGATGAAGCTTCTCCAAGGTCACAGAGCAGTAACAAGGGAAGCAGGTTCTCGGACAGGAAAGTCCACAGCACATCTTTCACTTTCTGCTGGATTCTCGCACGATTTAAACGGCCGAAGAAAACCCAGAACGTGCAGCTCGGGCTTTAGAGTGAGATGCATCTGCGCTGGAACTGAACAGCCACTCGCTCTGTGAGGCACCACACCTGTGCCCCCTCCTTCAGGTCCTGATGAGTGGACTTCCGTGCCACTTCCTAACAAAGCACCGCACGGGAGGGACCATTTCTGAAGAACCAGGGAATGGACACGCAAGCAGAGGGAGCTGCTTTCTCTCTCTCTCTCTCTCTCTCTCCCTCTCTCTCTCTCTCTCTCTCTCTCTCCCTCTGAACCTCCCTGGTCAGGGCAGGATGGGGTTGGCCCCATTACTTAGCTCCCGGGGTGAGCACATGGCCCCAGCCTGGCTTTCTGGGGCGCCACCATGAAAGAGATGATCTTGGAACTACTGGTTGCCTTTCTTACCACCACGGGGAGAGAGTCTCTCTGAGAATGCTGCCAACAAAGTAGAGAAAGAGAGATTCTTCTCAGCCCCTGGAGGCAGCCATGCCTGAGGCTAGAAGCCCTGAACTTCCGGGTTAAATGAACCAGTCAAACCTGGCACATGGGGCAGCCAAGGGCACTGACAATACAAGTCCATCTGATACAAATGTATGAAGCTTGTTTCCATCCCTCAACCTCCCAGGCATAATGTGCCTGGGAGAAAACCTGGGATCTTTATGTGAGCGAAAAAGGAGCTGGAGAAATCTTACCCAACAGAAGGATGCTTTTCTGGAAAAACAGACACTCAGGATGCCTGCAGGCTGCAGACTCCATCTTTGGGTAATAAGCCTTCCCTCCGTGGCCCTAGATCATTGGTGACAACGACGAGGCACCTGCAGGCCTTTGTATTTGCCATGCAGAAGCTGTGCAGATATGAAACCATCGGCACGTCCTTGCTCTCACTGAGGCCTGAGAGCCAACAAAGAAAAAGACTTCACCCACACCTACCTGAAGCGCTGGAGACCCGGGACACGTCCTGGGCCTGGGTGGAGCGGTTGCGACTCTGCTGGCGACGCCGACCGCTGGCTGACCGCGTGGTGCGCACGTGGACCTCACTCACTTTGAAGAAGGCCACCATGAAAGGCTGCTTGTCATACGGGCCGTCTCTGCCCACCAGGCCTGCAGCTCGGGGGTTGATGCTGAGTCCTTGAATGCAAACCAAAGCACACCCCTCTTTAGTCCATGTAAACTTACTCCTGCAGCTGCATAGCGGATCCTACCCGGCCTCCCCGGGACTAAACATAAAGAATGCAGCTGAGGGGAAAGCATGTGTATTCTTGGATCTCTGGTGGCACCCTCTGGATGGACAAAATCAACACCCTCCTTCCAGCCCTAGCTGGTGTTGCTCAGTGGTTAGAGCATCAGCCCTCACACCAAAGGGTTGAGGGTTTAATTCCCAGTCAAAGGCACAAACCTGGGTTACAGCTTCGATCCCTAGCCCAGGTCAGGGTGCTTGCAGAAGGCAACAGATCGACTTGTCTCTCTCACATCTCTCTCATTTCTGCTAGTCCTTTTCCTTCATATTCATTCTTTCTTTCTGATCATATTCATCCCAACCATAAGGTGACTTCAACACACAGAGCATGCCCACTCTGAGGGCCGTAAGGGGCCCTGGATCTGCTGAACTTGGGTGCTGCAGGAGGAGGGGTGCTGGGAGGGGTAGACAGGGTCAGGATTTAGCCTATGCTCCCATCTTTCTTTCTCTCAACATCATCCACCTGCCTTCCCTCTGAGTGCTCACCTCCCATTGTTTCTCTCAGAACCTGGACCATCTACCCGTCTCCGAGTCCTTCCAGGGGAAGGATTTGCTTTTCAATAGCAGTTACGAGGAAACAGTAAAGGAAGTCATCGTGAGCTGAGGACTCGGCTGTAAACCACGGTTCTCTCATAACCGTTGAAGAGGAAATGAATGACAGCGACTGTTGGCCTGATTTTGGCAAACTTACCATCCCGAGTCACCACGCTCAGCTGAAGCCCCATGTTGTGCTGTGGGGTCACGACCCACAGATTGCTAGTGGCCGTGATGTCAAATTCCAGCCAGCCTTCTTCTGAGGCCCACACTATGCGGGTGTCCAGCAAAAAGAGGTCAGAGTCTCTGAAAGAAAGGAGAGGTGGTGCAGTGAATGGCCGGCTGTCCCCTCAGCTCACTCTCGCTCTGTCCTGCCTGGTGTCACAATAAAAGATGCCAGAGTCAGATCAGGTCCCGCGTAAAGCAGTGTCCAGCGACCTGCTGCAGCTCTGGCGGGCGTGGCACCACAGCGGGCAGGTGCTGACACGCGGAGAGATGACTGTGCCAGGGCCCTGCAGAGAAACGGGCTTTCTCTGAAGATGGCAGGGCCCCTCAGCTTCACCCACAGCCTCGCTACGATGCTTACACAAATCTCTAGTGGAATTAGGATAAATGACAGACAGATAGATAGGGTCATATTGTTCCTTACTTTATGGCTAATGAACTCTAGAAAGAGAGAAAGTGGGGGGGGGGGGACAGGAGGAAAAGGATTAAGAAAATATTAAAATCGGGATCAATATGAGCTTTCACAAAGTTGTGCTTTGCTCATTTTCTTTTTAACATTAAGATCTGACAATCTTCACGTTAAAATGAGGAGAAACCAGAAGCCACATCATATTTCTGAGTAATCACCAGTTCTTTTCCTTTAATTAAGGTATTTGCATGGTCTATAGTGAGTGTCAAGTCCTCTCTCGCCTGGACTGTGTGATGTGGGTGTATGTTGAGTGATTTTAAAGTTTATCCCAGTGCAGCTGTGAGCCAGGCTGGGGTTCTTTGAGGCAAACTTGTCGAGTCCATTCCTTCCATTGGGCTCCACAGGGAATATTTTTATACTTTTTACAGTTTTCAACTAACATAACCCTAGGGGTTGTGGGAAGATGGAGTGAGGGTTTCTTCCTGCTCGCCCACATGTCATGGTAGAGCAGTGCCAGGGGACGGTCCCCTTCGTGTGCTGCAATGACACTGAGTCTGAGCCCGGAATGCCCGTGACGGGGAGGGGGCGTGTTTTGGTCATGGAAAGATCTAAGTTCCCTGGTGCTGGCAATATTTTGCTGAAATATCTTAGAGCTGTGGTCAGCAAACCACGGCTCGCGAGCCACATGCGGCTCTTTGGCCCCTTGAGTGTGGCTCTTCCACAAAATACCACGTGCGGCACGCACATACAGTGCAATTGAAACTTCGTGGCCCATGCGCAGAAGTCGGTATTTTGTGGAAGAGCCACACTCAAGGGGCCAAAGAGCCGCATGTGGCTCATGAGCCGCGGTTTGCCGAGCCTCAGTTTGCCGACCACTGTCTTAGAGGATAGAAAATTATTGGAATTAAATACTAAATTTAAGACGAGCATGTCAATACTAATGAAGTACATTTAAATCAGTGATAAAGTGTTTCCATATACTTTACTTTCCTCAGTTGTTAGGACAATCCCGAAAGCTCGGGAGAACATTGCTATCCCCATTTTACAGCTGGGGAAACTGAGATTCAGGTGTGAGGTTAGTGTCATGCGGCCAAGATCAAAAGCTGGTAAGTGAAAGAACTAGCCAGTGAAAAGAATGTGGACTCAGTTTCCCATAATGACATCTTGCCTTCTGAGATTACCCAAGACAACCTGTGACAAGTGAATACAATTTATTGCTATTCTTTTGAATATCTGTGAGGCCCGTGAAACATCCGAGTTAAGAATTTTAGATTTCTCAGAGGGGAAACTATTTTTCCTGTTTACATGGCTTAGAGTTAGAAGAAAATGCTATTGTCATCTTCTCCAAGCTTAAAACAGTAGGTACAGCTAAAAGTAGTTTACTCAGCTGCTGAACGGAGTCTGCAGGGGGCACATTCAGGCCTGCCATCTTTAAAGCGCTCTCCTACCCGCATGTGTCACACCCCCTGCTGACAAATCACCCCCCCTCCCCGTTACTGAGGTAACTGTGAGCAGGGAGATGGGGTGTCCATGGAAAACAGCAAGAGGGGATGGCAAGTCCAAAGCTTTGAAGTTCAGATGCAAGAAGACATAAATCCTGCTCTGGAAGGTCTGAGAAGCCCTTATCCAGCAATAACAGGCCTATGGACAGTTCTGTGGGAGGAGCAGCCAGGGCCTGAGGAAGCACAGGACAGATGCTCCTCAGAGCAGCACCCTCGAATGAAGATGCTGTGGGAATTTCGGGCGTGAGGCTGCCCCTGAGGCAAAGAGCATCAGTGCATGGGCTATTGCCACAGGTCCCTTGTTGCTACTTACAGAGCTTCAATGATACACACAATGTTTAAGGTCTTGTAACAACGACGGAGAAATATACAAGAGCAAGTGGGGGGTGGGACAGAAGGCCAGCTTCCAAAAACAGGTGAGAGAAAGCAGAGAAAAGGAAAAAAGAGAAGGGCATGGGTAAAAGAGGGCGAACATGAATCAAACGCTAAACGTGGGAAGAGTGTTGCTAAGAAGAAGGATAATAATCACGATGTGGAAGAAATTAAATGTCCAGGGAGAATGGGGAGAGTGGACTCAGAGAGCCCAAGTGTCTATCTTGTCTCTATTCCTAAGAATTCCTGTTTCTGCCGCTCCCCTGGCTGCATAGTAAGGACAAGGCCGTCCTCACTGCGTAAGAGCCCCGTGGGGTTCAGGGGTTCATGAACCTGGTCCAGCAGCTGAGGGCAGGGAGAAAACCCTGCTCACGGGCAGTCAGACAGTCTGAGATTTAGATGATTAAATCCGGGACACTGAGGTCCTGTGGAAGGGAGGTGAGGTAGAGCATGGACTTAAGATAACTGGACTTAGAGAGAAACAACAAATATTTACTGTGCTTTCTATACACACATATGTGCCAAGAGCCTCTCTATTCCTTGGGAAGCCTGGAGAGGCGGGTCCTGTAGCTGACGGCACGGAGCCTAGAGAGGGTAAGTGTATTAAGGTCACAGGTATTAAGTGGGCTGACCAGAACTGAAAGTCAGAGCCCGGACTCTTAGCCACCACATTTCTCAAAAGCAGTCAAGAAACATCCAAGGCACAGGTTGAAATGACTGAGCAAAGGCTCAGAGTAAGGTAAGGGATCACAATGTACTGCACGTAAATGCCAAAGTCGGGTGGATACAGAAAACACTTGAATGTACTCAGGGCTGGCACAGGATCCTATCAGGGTACGGAGAAGAAGCGGGGAAGTGTGTGAGAGGGATCCGAGAGGGACCGTCCAGTCTCGCCCTATCCCTGCTCCTAGGCAGGACACTCTACATGAATGTACTGAGGGCTGGCAGAGGATCCGAAATCATGAGCCGGCTCTCCTATCAGGGTACGGAAAGAAAGGGGGGGAAGTGTGTGAGAGGGATCCGAGAGGGACCGCCCAGTCTCGCCCTATCCCTGCTCCTAGGCAGGACACTCTCGATGAGACTGAGCCCACCACTGACACGCAGTCACACAGCCAGGGTGAGGAACTTTCAGAATCACAGCTTTAAGAAACAACTGTGCTGGCTCACCCTCAATGCTTCCAATAGCTCAGGTATTTAAGAGCCACGATTTATGGCAAGTCAATGAAACGGTTCTGGTCTGACCCACATCTATTTACTTTTCTTCAGTGACACATGGCTTTCTTAGTCTGCCACCTCTGTGAAAATGTAGCCTCGAGCAAGATGCACCTGAGTTCCCTGTGTGAAAAACAAGGATGCCCCTCTACAGGGTTGAGGTCTGTTATTCCCATCTAAAATATAGTCGCCTCCCAATAGAGTCCTAGGGTCTGGCCAATCTGACCACAGCTGGATTATTTGGACCCTCCCACTGAATGATAGACACTCAATTGAGCATATTATAAAAGAAAATGCTGAAACAAGATAGAGATATAATTTTGAATGAATTTATTGCCTGTGTTGTTCTCAACCAACTCATAGACCCATGTTTCATGATGAATATGCATTCCATATTCAAGGATACAACAATATTATTCTCAATGTGATCCCAACTCAAGGACATGAGTTTCCTCATATTGTGATCATCCTGGACAAATGAAACTCTCAACAATGGACCACACATGATTGATCTCATCCAAGCTACTCATTAGACTTTTAGAATTAGTGTTTGTGGATGAGATCAACCATGTGTGGTCCATCCCATCGCACAGCCTCCAAGGCACCTATCCTTGTCAGTGATATTCCATCCGGCCGTGGAGCAGACGGCACTAGGGGCAAACACAGTGGGTTTCTCTCTTTGCCCTTGAAGAAGGTCAGGGGGCACCTCAGTTCCTGATTTTGACTTTTCCTGACAAATGCTATCCATCAAAGTTACACTGCCCTGGATAAAGTACAACTGTGCTTACTACTAGCCACTTCAGTAGGAAAATGTTCTTCATAAATGGAATTTATAGGTTTGAAGCAAGCAGATTTTTGAAATATTTGATAAGGTGAGTCTGTAGTTTGTTCCTTTACTTCTTCATAACATATTCCTGTGCCATTTATGGGTCTGGACTTAATGGCAAATTAAGATACAAAACAACATTCATACATTGGTGAATCAACTTTATGCAATAATGAAAACTCAATTTTCAAATTGGATGAAAGTCAAAGGAGTCAATCATTTTAGAAAATTAGATAGTAAAACAAAGATTTGTATTTTTTCCTTATGCATATATCATATGCAGAGGATTATGTTTAAAATTTTACCACTAAAAAGACAGAAAAGAAGTAGGATTTGAAAAGATAACACTACAACTCAGGATAAACTACTACTACTACTACTACTACTACACACACATACACGCACACACACAGATTTGAGTAACATAGGTGAATAGACATTATCTATAATAATAAAAGCATAATATGCTAATTAGACTGGACAGCTGAACGTTCTTCTGGACGTCCTTCCAGATGAAGCCGGCTGCGATGAATTTCGTGCATCAGGCCTCTAGTTACTATATAATTAGATAAATTCTCATTGATTTTATGCCACTTGATATTACCCAAATTTCATCTCAAGGACTAGCATGGCATGAAGAGAAGGTTCAAATATCAAAGGGACATTTTATCTTCAACAAAACAATAAAAATCACTTTGCTGTCAGAATATTAACATAGCAAGCCCGTACATGGTGTTTACTACATTACTGTACTAAGTGC